CAGCCGCTAACAAACTTGCAAACACAACTGCGGTCGACCGTATATAGATTAGCAAGGTATGCGAGTGACACTCTTACAATCATGGCAAACCCAACTAGTTGTTGGTCGATCGTGCGACGTGCTTGAAAGTGCTAAATTCAAGGACAGCACAACTAAGATTGTATTAATCGATTGGGGATACATTTGCAAGCAAAGCGAGTGCCATTTTTACAATCAAGGACACGAACCTAATCCAACAACAAGTCTTTGACAACTGCCTAGTTGACACGTCCTTGGCCAAACTGATGAATCCGTCCCTCGAAGTTCCGTCATGGGGCTGCCTAATGCACATTCGACCTTTTGCTACATGCTACATGCAAGCAAGATGCTCATTTCCCCGCAGTGCTGGAATGGCACGTCAGGGACTCCCGATATGATCACAGAGCCAGGCTTCGCGCTGCGGGTTCCAATGGCTTGCGTGCTTCTTGCTCTGATTTTTTCTTGGCTCTTTTGGAGTTTAGAAGTGGAGGCTGGACTTCAGGGCTTTCAAGGTTTTCAGGGAGCGATCCCTTCTCACACCTTCCAGTCTTATTGGGGTCTGCTGGAGAGCCTCGTTGGAAAGCTCAACTGCAGGGCCAACACACAACTCTAAAGGTCCTGTCCAAACGGATCCCTCCCTTTGTCTTTTATCTTTTAAAGAAGTCGGTGCTTGCCAGCACAAGCCTAGAGTCTTGGGAGAAGGCCTTCGGCATTCCATGTGATGATATTGCGTGATGCTCTGGTTGCGAAGCCGAGGCTGACACCTTGTACAGCCGCAGCGTGGGGTAGGCATCGATGCCTTTTTCCACGCAGGTTTCCTTGAAGTCCACGCAGTTCAGCCTTCGCTCAATGCGGGTTTTTTGATCTACGGAGCAATCGGCATAAGACGATTCTCCCGCAGTTGCACTGCACAGTTGCCCATGGCCCCGTTGAAACGAGGAATAGGCTGGGCTTCGAACTTTATCATCCGAACTGGACGCTCAATCCCATCCTTGTCGGGAAACTTCATGCCTTGCGGTCGATCAGTTGCTGGCAGCGAAAAAACACTCAAAGTACTGTCGTGATGGGCCTGGCACGTCACCTTTGCCGTGAACCTGATCACAAGCAGCCAACTTGATAGATGTTATCGGGCGTGAGGTCACGCCTTGTCAGCAATCTGCTCCCATTCCGGCGCAAACTTCTGACAATGGCTGCACCTAGGTGTCATTAGGGGAGGTGATCGCCAGCTTACCTTAATTAGCCCAGTGTCAATCCATCTACAAGTTTGAAACGAAGGCCGTCATCCCCCGTTCCAACGGCTTTCTTCAAGATTTGCACCGTAAGCCCCCCATCCCCCCATCCCCCCATCCCCCCATGCCGTCGTAACCACAGCACATGGCCGATGCATGCAGCATAAAGCTGTGCTTGCTGCCCATTAAGCCATGCAGAAAGCATCGTGCTACATGTGCTAGAGCACGTGGCTTCCACACATCAAGAAGGCCACTACTTGCAACTCCTCGGCCAACCACGAACGCAAACAAATAGTATTTCGACCTGTACGGGCTCTGAACCCATCTTTGCATCTCTGGAGACTGGTTTTGAGTAACAATTTGGACAGCTTCGCACACCCGAAAGGACTGCCTCTCCCGACGTCAAAGAACTGTGTACACGATAGGTTCCGCAGCGATGCTCAGACACATACAGGTCAGGCACCGGGTAGGAACCTCTGAAAGAAAAGCGAGGCATTGGATGCGTCAGGGGCACCATCCGGCAAAGAAGTTGATGAAGGTGAAGTCATGGCCCTGTCATCTTCAGGCCAGGCCCAAGCTACGTGGCTACGTCGGGTCGTTGTGCAAGGCTGGGCAACCTCACCCTGCCTGAATCACATGCTCGAAGCTCTTGTGCTTAAAGCCATCGTGCGAGGAAGACCAATCAGAGTCTATCTCCTGTAGGAGAGCGAATGATTCTAGAAGCATTCCATGGGCCTTTCTGCGCTCGAATCTGAGTACGTCTATCCTATGATGGGTGCTCTGGGTAAGTTTCTTGGGTTTTGGAGGAAGAAAACAACAATATCATTAAGGCATCCAGAAGCTGGGGGAAATGGGCTACTGTACGCGCGCCTGAAAAAACACAAAAAACGCAGACACCAACCAAACATGCAACGAGTACTTGGGATTACTTGGGCAAGTTCCGCGCTTGCGGCGCTTGCATGGGAAGGGAGCACATAGAGAGAACCACCGGAAACAAAGCACCCTTCTTGATGCATCAGAAAGTGTCAGGCTCAACATGGAACATACATACACTAACACCCCTTCGTGAACAGCAGCTTGCTTATACACGCAAGACGGGGGAAGAGAGCGATCCGGCCGCAGCGTAGAGTCTTAGATATGATATGAAGACAGAAGGGAGGACGAATAAGTAAAAAAAGAAGATCGGGGTCAGGCTCAACACGAGTTGTAGCACGAGTTGTATCTTGCTGGCGATCTTGCCTTCCAGCACCTCAACCTGTGAGTGCTGATGTCGTTTTTTTGCGTCTCTTGCTTCTCACGCTCGATCTCCCTGACAATATCATGGCCTTGTAAGTGGCGTCTCCCTGATGGGTAGTGACCTGGGACTTTGCGCGCTGTAAGAATCCTGTAAACTAGTCGAATGCCTCGAGACTTCACGTACACCCGGTGCAGTTGCAGGACCGCCTTCTCCCCAGAGTGAGGCTTTCTCCGACAGGCCTCCCGGACCTTCAGGCAACCAACATTCTGCCTTTTGCCCCAGACCACTCCTAGACTCATGGACCCCTTCCGCGCAGTCGCCCGCCCGCACACTGGGGAAGTGGTGAGTTGGCCCCCTGCCCGAGAGGTCTGGGGCGCGTTCCGGAGCGACAGTTTGCCGGTTCCGGTACCCCAACAGCTAAGGCCCTGAAACAACCGCCGCACAACGTACATCTGACTTTATCTATCTCAAGCGACGTACCAAGGAGTCGTTTCGGCGGCCCCCCGATGGACTTACCAGCTCACATTCGACTTGCCACGGCTGGTGGTCGGCTTGCGGCTCTCCCGCGTCGCTACAGCAAGGGTCGCTTCCCAGCAGTCTCATGGAGTGTCTCAGGCCCTTTTCTACTGTTTCTTTTTTCTTTCTTTCTTTCTTTCTTTCTGGGGGCTTGGTCGGGCCCTCTCTCTCCCTCTCTTCTCCTCTCTCACCATCTCGCATCCGTTCGTTCCGTGTCACTTGCCAATGAAGCTCCTCTGCACCATCCGCTTGCCGCACCTTCTGCCTGGGTCGCGACCCGCATGTCGTCAAGTCTCCGGCGAACAGCACAGAACTCCAAGGGCTGTGCATGACCTTGTCGTGGTCGTCTTCGCCCTGCTCCTGCCACTGCCACTCCTGCTGCTCAAATACGACAGCAACCAAGACTCCCTCAAGCCAAAGCAAAGCAGGATCTGCAGCACTGGATGAATGAAGTAGCAGCGTAGCAAAACTCAACATCTACCAACTGCTTGAAGGTCATGTGTCAAGTTGGAAACCATCACGTGCCGGTCCTGCGGTTTTATCGAGACTCCAAACTGCTTCCCAGAAGCATCGATGGATCGCAGCCAGAAGTCCTCCCCGAGCATACCTGGCCAGTGAGTGCAAGTGAGCAAAGGCGAATCTCCGAATAACGGAAGCAGCCGTGGCTCGCGCCGATCTTCTCTTTGCCATTTTGCGCCTCTGCAGACACGGAGAGTTCACGTTGCTAAATGCTATGCAATGCTGTACGGGTCTTGTGTCAAGCGGGTTCCAACACACAATGATGCGATGCACTGAATCTCAAAGGCCCAGGCATAAACAACGACTTGCAGGTTCCGACATTCGATGTCATGCACATCTACGTCGAAGTTTATCCTCAGACAGCTCATTCAAGTTGGACTTGAAGCATGCTCCAACGAGCCGTCTTGGTGCTGGGCTGCAGTGAGTCGCTGCCTGCTTTGTCGAGGGCCATCACTGTGGTGTACCCCGGGCTCTGGCAGACCAGGGAGGGGCATTCGTGGATGATTGAAGCACAAAGCTCACAAATTCCTCAAGAGCCCTACAATGTGCCCTACAAGGCACGCTAAGCAAGCCGGGCACACCATGAAGGATGCCAGCTCGAACAGGAAAACTACCAGCATGATGCCGTACCTGCAATCCGCTCGTTGCACGTCTCAGCCAAGCTGCTCCCCGAATGGTGGCTGCGTGCTGCTCTCCGCATCCCCCCACAACTCCCCCACAGGCCAACTCGCAAGCCCCGTTGAGACCCCCGGCGCGGCGAGCGTCCAGGCGCCACCGATCTGTGATGCCTCTCATGCAACGTGCGGAGTTTGTTTTCGGGGACATTGCATGACACTGACTGTCAAGAGCCGGTCTCAGGGTACGAGTACCGTCCGCGGGGGCTGTGGGCTGTGCACAATGATCGACAAATGATCTCCCATCGCCGAGCTTCTCTGGGTGCGCAAGTTGTTAAGATTCGAATCCTAGTGTCTCACTAGGATTGCCAGGGCTGAATGTCCCAGTCAGGTCCCAGTTGAAGTATGCAAGCGTGGCCCAGGCAGGCCTCGACGAAATCTCTGGGTAGCCATCGCGCTGCATGGTTCGAGGTCAGCATTGCTAGTGAAGCTTGGCTGTAATTTGGGCCTGTTGCTAGCTGGTCCTAAAGGCATGCACGTCAGCATGGCTTGTCGGATGTTAGCAGCGGCCAAGTCTTGGGTGAGATAGATATAAGAGCGGAGTCGTGGTTGTCTAGGCTTATTTTGTGTGCATGTCAGCGTCAGCTGAGCTTGACATGTGACAGCCTCTCATCTCTACTGTGGCACACATTTGCACTTGGAATCATAGACCGTCCTTCGGGCCTTCACAGATAAGTCACTGAAAAACCACCCAACCCAGAGAAATCATTTACTACTCTACAGAACCCAATGCGATGGCAAGCAGGAGAGAGCTTCACGATCATTCTAAGACCCGCGACCTCGAAGAAAAACTCTCTGTTAGCGTGCCTGGATGTGTCGCCGGGCACTGTCGAGTCAGAGGCCTGCAGCATGGAGCGTGGGTTGCTTCTTGAACCCGTTTAAAGCCGGTGGATGCCTGCATCCTTCGACTAAAACCCCTCTCTGCCTGAACCTGTTTGTAGTTCTCGCTGAGGAGGGCATAACATTAGTGTGCCGGGTGTAGGATGTGGGGCTATGGTTGAGGGCGTACGCCTGAAATTTCAAACCAGTCCTTGTCATCGTAAGGCCCTAATTCAACGAACTAGCCCAAATCGCGGGGTCCCCTCACATCGCTTGCCCTTTCTACTCTTGGAAGAGGAGTGAAGATGTCCCCAAAATTGACGAGGGCTCTTGCATTCTGATCTCTTGCATGCCGACCCACACTCTATGGTAACAGCGAACTGCCACTTGGCATTCCACCTGCGAGTTGGAAGAGACATCGATGCAGGCATCCTGCAAAGTCATGAATTTCAGTCTACCAATAGAGGCTCATGTACCATCTACAGCGTTCCAACACAAGAGCTTTGCCAACCATTTTGCGTTCTAGTGTCAGTGTCTGAAAATGTCTTCCTCGACTCTACCTCTCCTCATTGGCAGGCTTGGGCAGCATTTCGCAGCCCAACCTGCGTGCTGCCGCAAAGACCTGAGTGAGGAAGGCACATAGTTGTTTGCCCTCAGTGTGGGGTTGTTAAATATTATTCCTAAGTCAGCGATGCTCCTCGCTTTTTCGCCTCCCGCCTCCTCGCCCCCAGAACCGCAGAGTTACCCGCCTACCCAGAGAGTCCACCGACATCCTGGAGATAAACCCGCCTGGAGTGCCCACCCTCAGAGAATTCCGCGGACCCACGACGAAAGCCCGTTTTTTTAAACGGCAGGAGTAGGACAACCACAAGTCTATAAGATATCTATCGGAACATTCTTGTACCCTCGTGACTCGGCCTCGTGTGACAGCTTCCGGCTCTCCGAGGCTGCCGAGGCTGCCGAGGCTGCCAAGGCTGGGCCCTGGATGGGCTGCTTACTAAGCTTACTATGTGTGATCCTGGTTGCTGAGATTTGGGCCTTCCGCCTCTGCCCGCTGTCTCGAGGCTGTTTCTAGCATTGGCGTTATAGACCGGCGGGGTTCAGGTCAAAGCTTCGGGTGCTGAGGTCGGAATTTCGAGCCGCCTTCAACCTCTGAACCAGCTGGCATTCAAGCAGAGGGGCCTCCTGCAGGCCGACGTCCCGAACCTGCAGCAGGCCCTCAACGCTGGGCGCCTGACGAGATCACCACTTCACCACCGTCCATCTGGAAAAACATAAGAATGGCAGCCGGTCGCTGCCAACAACGACTACACAAGTCCGCTAACATTGAACGCACGCATGCAAACTTCAAAGAGGAGTCGCACTGCATGAAAAAAACCTGCCAGATTCCGATTGCAATTACTCTCGCGGTCGCCCTTAGCCCTGTAGACTCCTGTAGACGAGTGCCTTCACCCAATCGCGAGCTGCATTGGTCAGGCGGGCCCTGGGCTCCGACATTTCAACCCGTCGAGGTTGGGGAAGTCTTGCACTTGGTTTGGGTTACTAAAGATTCGGCTACAGGCTCCTCAACTGGGCCAACTGCATTACCGATAAAGAACACACTCTCATCGCTTGATGTTCTAAGACAGACGTGAGTATATGTTTAAGCTTCTTGGGGCCACCATTTCCCGCGGATTGTGAATCAGGTCTAAACTGGGACTAGTAAAACTTGAGACCAGCGGGATAGTGCGTTACATCACCTAAACGATAACTGGGAGGGGATAAAGTCTTGGGCAAACAAAATTTCGGCCTGCAGACGGGGCTTCTCTGCCAGATAAGGAGATAAAGGGTGACCTTCCGTGGGACGGTTGGTTTTTTTTTTACGTGGATGCAGGATGGACTATGGCATAGTATGCCCCTTTGCCAATTTCGAACTGGCTGTTGCTCAGGCCGACCTGTGAACCTTTCTGTGTCAACGAACACAAGCAAGCAATGGTACCAGGAGGAAACAAAGCCCGGGCCCGGGAAAATATGAAAGAAACATTGTATGCAAACCTCTTAAGTTCTGGAAAAGGGGGCCTGCTCGTGTGTCATTGTCGTCTACGTTCGAGTTTTCGGATGCCCTGCAAGATGTGTTACCAGTGCGTGCGAGTGCCCAACGCATCCATGCCTTCACGAGGATACGTGTATGGTTACCAGTGCGTGCAATTGGCCAGTTCATCCATGACCGAACGATGCTAGCGTTGATATTACCCGTGCGCGCGATTGGCCAGGGCATCCATGTGCGCAAGATGACAATGTTCGTGTTCCAGCACGTGCGAGTGGCCATTGCATCCATGCCCGCACGATGATATCTGAATGAGGGGAGGTTGTAACCACAGCCAAGGGGGTGTACTTTGTAACCACGCCACCACTCCTTTTTGTTGCCACGACACAGCTGTTGTACTGTTAACATGACAAGCAGTATGCTTGCTTCCTTTCCGGAAGTCTTTGATAGTGTTCGTGTTTACAATTAGCACGATTGGACAGTGGACAGCACGTCGATGACGTTCGTGTTTCCAGTGCGTGCAAGTGGTCAGCAGGGCATCCTTCTTCCCAACCCCAACACCCAAGCCCGAAACACTGGTGCCCAGAATCTATAAACCCTCTGCCCCAAACCCCAAAGAGTGCACGTCCAACGCACTTCTGCCCTTAACCTCAGACACTCAAACCCAAACCCCGAAGAGTGCAAGCCCAAAACACTTCTGCCCTGAACTTCCAACCCCAAACCCGAAACCCCAAAGAGACACACATGACGAAGAAGACGTCGGCAAGTAGTTTCTATGCCATCTGACTTCATCAAGCACGAAACACCGAAACAAAACATGAATTCTCACTTCACACGAAAAAATAGCGAATGGGAAAACATCGACAAGCACTGTTTTGCACACATTTGCTTGAAACTACCAAAATCACAAGCAACTCTGACCGACACAAGAAAGTTTTGAAAATTGAGACTCCTCCAGGGTCCAGATGCTCAAATGCAGAAACATCGACTTGTCGCACTTTTCCATTACAAATACACAGGACATTCCATGGGCTCCAGTGCGCCACTTGCCTTGTTCTTGATTTGAGTGGGAGGCAGAAGGTGACTTGATGATGTTCAATTGAAGAAAGGCATGTAATGCCTAATGCGATTGCTAAATATTCACTCCACTGCCAAGCCAAGCGCCACACCCTGGCCTCTCGGAGAGCAGGCGCAACACCTGCTACGAGGCGCTCGACTAAGCGGCGAGCAGCGACATCTCAGCTCCACCAAAATCCGAATCTTACCCGTGGCTTGCCTTTGCCAGGCGTGCAACTAGCCGGAGCCGCGTGCACCGCAGCAATGCCTCAAAACAAGACAGCGGGGCCCGTGGCAAAGTGAAATCAGGGACGGCCAAGTTGAGAAGATATTGTTGAACTGGCCCTGAACTTGTGCTTTCTCGGTGCGTCTTAGGTGAGAGAGTGGTTTTACGAAATCAGATCCAAAGAAACATGAGGCTCCTGCATCACGAGAGATGCCTTGTGCCCTTTCGCAAAGTGCGTTCGCTCCTGGCCACATTTGTCCGCAAAAGGCAAACTGCGTCGAACATTGAAGACAATCGACCTCGATCCATAAGCCCATGGATTCTATACAGAACCTGAAATCAAGTAAGGCAAAAAGCGCAAGGCTGCCACGAGCCTTCGCTGAAGGCCGCTACGTCCGTGAAATCGTTTCTCAACTGGGTGCTGTGTTGACGCTGAGGCAAACTGGAGTCATCTTTCACGGAAATTCCCTTGACACTGAGATACCAACAAGTTCAGCAAGCTGCTGCGGCCCTGGGCACCCGGGCAAGGCGAAACGCGACGGCATCGACCTTGCGCATCCAACGGTTTCTGCCATGCATTTTTGGTGCTGCACATTCTGTGCACCCTCGCCTCTGGCACCGTGGCCAAGGCAGACTTCACCATGGGCAGAGATGAGAGAGGGGGGATGTTGATTGGTTGTTAACTTAAATGTTGACTTAGCCGACTTAGCCAGACTCTGGCACGTCGTGTGTCTGAGTTGGATCATCTGGGAGCCCAAAGTTGCTGAAGTTGCTGGCGGATCCTGTTTTCAAAGCAAGGCCACACTACCCCCACGGACACACTCGACGGCCCTGAGCACACTGTGAGAAGCTCAGACCCAATGCATTGCCAGTTTTCAGATTACGGATTCAGGTAAGACTTCACATCTCAGATCACCGCCACCGTCCCTCTCCGTGATGAACTTCGAGATCTGATCCATGATGCCCTCAGGCAGGAAATGGGTTTCTCTCATGGCCCGAATTCGTTTTTCCATGTCCTTGGGAAGGCGAAAAGCAGTCTGCTGCTCAAGGCGCGCATGCAAAACAGTTTGCGCAGTTTCTCCCCCAAAGACTGCAGCTAAGCATCAAGCAACTTTGGGATGTTGGAAAATGCATGATCAAGAAGTGGCAAGAGAGCGTCAGCTGTAGTGTGGAATCCGATCTTCTCCTCGACCCACAGATCCCTGTAGAACAGCCAAGCTCCCTTAGCAGAGATGTAGATGGGTATCAGGCCCATCTGCAGAATTTCTAGCGTTCGGTAGGAGTTACGCCCGAAACCTCGCGGTGAGAGGTTCAAGCTGGTGTTCGCCATCATCCCCCTCCAGTCCTCCGCGCCCTGCCCGATCTTAACGGACCTGTTTCTCAGGCTGCCCCAGCTTTCTGCCTGTGCCTTCATGGCCTGTCGCACCTTGGCTGGCCCGTGGTTCAGTGAGCCCATAAAACCGACAGCGTAGCTCCTTTCCATGATCGGTGCAGCCTTCGCTGGGGCTTCCGTCTGCTTAAACAAAGGCAAGGCAACATGCCCATACCCTCCAGCACTCATCACGAAGAGGTTGGGGAAGTCCGCCAAAGTGAACTTGTTGTATTGCTGCAGGTTGTGGCCAAAGAGGCCATCATCGTTTTGCGATACGGCGAGATACAGAACATTCGGTCTCATAGTCCGGTTCAAAGCTTCTATTATACCAGGCGGGTACCTGTAAAAGTGTGGAATGAAAATGTCGAGGAACGGAAAAAGAATCGGAATATATGGGCCAAAGATGTCTCTGAGCCGAGTGCCATTAGCACGATTCTTCCACTTGTTACTGAATGACCAGATCCAGTAGTTCTCAATCCAGGGACCGCAAAAACCCGCCGTGATCTTGCCACAAAGGGGCCTGACTCCCTTGACAAACGCGCTCATGGTTCGGTTGAGCTCTTCAAAATGGTCTTCAGCATCGGATGGATACTGAAAGCCTTTGATCCACGGTGTCGACTGCCTCAGGCATGCCAAGGGTTTTGCATGGAAGGCATCGCTGTCAGGGTCGTAAGGAAACCGGTAGCTCGGGTTCGAAGAACCGAGCTGTGGACTTCCGAGAGGCTCCAAGTGCACTATGCTCGTGGACAGCGTCACTGTGGTCAATGTAGTGGATGGCCCGGCTGGGCTCACAATTGGGACGGCGCTGCTGGTAGCTGGAGCCAGTGAACTGTCAGCCTGCTTTGGGCTAATCGATGTCGGCTCCTTCATGTGGCTTGCCTCCCACTTTGCACCCAAAATAAGCATCAAGGCCCCGCAGATTGCACCCGCAATGCAGAAGCAACAAGCTCCTCAAAAACAACACACACACACACACACACACACACACACACACACACACACACACACACACACACACACACACACACACACACACACACACACACACACACACACACACACACACACACACACACACACAACACAGACACAGCATCCACACAACACACACGCTTGGCCGTGCGCTTGCCCTCCAAAAACTCCAACAGTGTCTCCCAAGCAGAGACATCCGGGAGCAGAGCAGTGAGCTGGTCTGCTTGCAGAGCCCGAGCTATGTCAAAGCAGCCCCTGCTAATAGGGTCAGCCACGTTGAGGCTGCTTGGAACTCTGCCTATCCACACTGACGCCCTTCCTTGGCGCACTGTTTTCCAGAACAAGGAGGCGATCACCGTGAGCTGCGCTGAACGAGAGTACCCTTTGAGCAAAATGCCCTCACCAGCCTTACTGTCTACGAAAAGGAAAATGTCAAGCCCTTGCAAGTGGTCTGTCAAGGTTTGTATCCAAATGAGTGCCGCAAGCGCCTCAGCTTCATTAATGATGTGGCCTGCCTTCCATGGGATCAAGCGGCAGCTGTGTTTGCCAACCTTCAAGTGAAAGAAGAAGCACCAGCCGGGGCCCCAAGCCATTCCACCAAGCCTGCAGCCATCTGGGCCGAGGGCCGCATCTACGAACAGCAGAGCCGCTCTGCGAGCAACAGTCTGGCTTGCTCTCACTTCCATGGGACCTCGGCCTTGCAGGAAAACCAAGAAGCCCAGTAGAGCAGCTTTGAGGACAGGCCACGGCGGAGGCTGGCGTCCTTGCGAGTCTGCAGCTATGAGTTCACGTAGCGGCCAAGCAAAGGCACGGCCAGATCGGCCTAAGCACACCGCTGACGCGTGGTCCCACTGGCCCACCATTTTGCCAGCCAGCGTTGAAGATAATTTGCCTTGCTCCAACACCTGCACAATGAGGTTCGCGGACTTGGGTGCTTTGGCGTCTGGCAGGTCAATTCTGCAGACAAGTCCTGCTGCATGCTCCTCAGCCGGAATGTCGAAGTCCAGTTGCCCACCTAAGGCTACTAGCTGCTTGGCCCCACCTGGAGAAGTTCTCTCTGGTCTTGCCTTGGAAGGCTTGAGTAAAAGATTTAGTGCTACGTGCAGTTCCAGGAAGGACGCCCTAGCCGAGTCCACTGCCTCCATTTCTTCCACACCAACCATGTCATCTACATGAGGGATGTTTGGTATCAACAGAAGCACCGAAGCCACTGCCGACACCATGTCTGTGACCCTACAGAACACATGCGGAGCTCCCCGTGGTCCGAAAAGTAGCTTCTGTGGCACGAAAATCCTGACGCTGGAGTCAGGAGCTCTGGCTGCTGCACAAAGAAAGCGCCTATCTGTGGACGACAAAGAGAACTGTCGAAACCCGTGAGCGTAGTCGTAGTCTTCTGCAAAACCTCTCAAAGGAGGGAAGCGGCCTGCTTTGGAGAAACACTCCGCCACAAACTTCACGAGTGTGACATAGCCGTCCAAGCCTGCCATGAAGACTGTGTTGGGGAGGTGTACGACGTGTAGCCCGTTTGCCCCCTGTGGGGCCAGGCAACCTCGCACTTTGTCCGGCTCCTCGACCCCAAAGAATAGCCAAGAAAGGAAGTCGCCCAGCTGTTCCTCGGCCTGCGCGACGGATAGCTCCACCCAGAAGCCCTTCTTTTTGCGCGTGGGGCTACGCAGTTGGTATCGTATTGGGCTCAAAATACAATCGCGCACTTTTTACACTGCTAGGCAAGGAACCTGAAAGTGCGAAAGCTCAGAGGCTGTTTCGGGGGTCCTACTGGGCTCAGGGTAGGACACTCCTTTTTCTCTTCGCTTGAAGCCTCAAAAGGGCTGCGGTTGCGCAGTGGTTTCTATACAGCGTAGGGGTAGCCTTTAGCTCAAGCCCTCGGAGTGTTGGGTAATTAAGCTACTTACCGTAGATAAATCGCACCCCCCTCCAACCTCAGAGGGTTGTGCATTGTTTGGATTTGCTGGTCATCCTGACCAGCGGTGGTGCCCGCTTGGCGGGACTACCGCTCAGGGATCTCGCGAGATGTGTCTCAAACTGCAGTGATTGCACATCGGAATCGCTCTCTGCCATCCTTGGAGTTCAGGGCAATTCTGAAAGATATGTGCCCTTAGATTCGTCCCTGTCACCCATACCCGAGGTTCGTTCTCGAGCCTGAGGTGTCTGGGAAAGTTTTCCAGGCAGTAGGCACAGAACTGTTCGACCACGATGTCTTGCTGCTGGGTTGAACTTAGCCCAGAGCAGTTGCGGAATACATGTGCTGTCCTTCGGTAAGGCGCATAGTAGATCTCCCCTGGTTCTCTCTGGGGTACCTGTGGTCTAGTTCTTCGACGTGCTCGTCGCTGCTGATCTCCCTGTGCGGATTGTGGTGGTAAGGCAGAAGCTGCTGCCTGTTGGCCCACCTCTGGAGGTTCTGGCTCAGGAGCTGGGGGTCGCAGGTCCCGAGGCGGAGGTGCCCGCACTCCCTCTCGGAACAAGTCCTCGAGTGGAGGTGGCGCGTTTTCCGCGGCCTGCGTTGGAGCTTCGTCCTCCGACGCTTCCGGTTCCGGCTCTTCTTCATGTTGCCGGTGTCGGTTCACCCTCCTGTATATAGCCAGAGTTCCCCTCACAGTGCCCTTCACCATGTGGTAGAGCAAAACAAACCATCCCAGGAGTCCCAGCCACAAAGTGGCATCCAGCACCAGCTCTAGGAGTTCTTTCTCCCTTGGCTGGGCCTTCACTCCTAAGATCTGTGAAGCCATAGTGATACCCGCGATTGCGAGCGTAGGCTTGAACGGAAATACGGGTTTCCAGCTCGTAGGCGGATTCACCCGCACAAACTTCACCGTGTGTTTCTCCTGGGCGGTGGCGCCCGCAACATGTTTGGGGTCCACCATGCCCAACGAAGGTAAAGCTTGTAGCACTTCGTTTCCGGACTTTGGGTGCTTGGTGAGAAAATTCGCCGGATTCTCAGTTCCTTTGACTTTTCGCAACAGCGCTTTCCCGGCCTGCACTGCCCCTTGGACGTAGAATTCGCTCACGTCCAGATGGCGTAGCTTGGTTCCTGGCCCTATGCGTTTTGCGGCTGTGATGCCAGTGGAGCTGTCTGACCACAGGCGTGGGATTTCCACCTCCAGCCCAAAATCCATGGTCGCCAGTTCGTGAACGAAGATGGCCTCGCGACAGGCCCGGCTGATGCCTCTTAACTCAGCGTCAGGGCTGCTGGTGGCAGGCAATCCCGGCTGGGTCTGCGTGGATGTGGCGACAATTGCTCCTCCCAGAACCACCACATGACAATCTGTGGATCGCCGGGTTTCAACACATCCTCCCCAATCGCTGTCGCTGAAGACGTCGAGCGTCATGGGCCCTTCGTACGCGCTTGGGTCGAGTGCAGTGACTCGAACAAGGTCGGGCGCTTGTTGCAGGTATTTTCCCAGCAGTCGTGCTTGTTGCATGTCGCACTGTCTGGGTTCGGCCATATGCCTCGCCAACTCTTTCACCGCATACTGAATGTCACGTCTGTCGGCCGAAAGGTAAATTCCGGACCCCACAGCGGATCGGTATTTGGCGGCATCCCCCGCACTCAACGGCGTCACGTCCGAGAGATCGGGTTTGCGAGAAGGCACTGGAGATTTCTCTCCGGGCTTCAGACCGAGTGCTTCGATGATGTTTCGAGCATGCTTTGCGTCCGGGGCTGTTAGGATGCAGCCCTCTAAGCGTGTTTTGGTTTTTCCCAAAACTTCTACCGATACACCTTCGGCCTCAAGAGGACCGGTGGTGATTTCACAGTGGCTGCACATATCCTCGTCCAGGAAGGTGTTCAGCAGGGCGGCGTTCCCCGCACATCTTCCGTCATCGATGTGATGGACCACTATGATACCTGTCTTCATGCATCTGTAGATGCATGGATCTTTTACCCCTCTTTTGAAAGCATACCGGCCGGTCTGTGACAATTTGTGGCATAACAGCTCTTCCAGCTCGTCTCGATAGACGGAGCCAGCTGTTCTTCGACCATACAAATTTCCATCGAGCCTGAACAGCATGTCAGCAAATTGTCCTCTGAGCTTGGACTGCTCAGACGGCGGTTGCTCCCGCACCCACTGGTCGAAAATGGGCTTCCACTCGGCTGGCGGTCGCATGTAGACCCAGTTTTCGTTCTGCGCCCCTCGGTCCTTGCCGATCAGGAAAGCAGCAACGATGTCGAAGGTTCTCATGGTGCAGCCTCTTTGCAGAGCCGTTATTTCGAGCAGTGCGTGTGCTTCAGGAGTAGGGGTAGGAACAAAGACACGCATGTCCTGCTCCATTTCTGGGGTATAGGATCGTCGTGCGTCGGCGCAGGTAAACCTGCTTTTGCACACGCCGTCTTTCACCTTGTCCACCCACTTGTAGTGAAAGGTCTGGGCGTCTGCCGGCTTGTCCCATCGCATCACCGGTGTGAAGGCGTTCAGCCGCCAGAGCTTCCAAAGTTGCTCTTCGCGTGCTTTCTGGATCTGCTGTGGGTCGGGCACGGAATCGAGGTATTCCATCACCGTGGCGAGCCTCTGCTGCGCTACAGCGGGGTCGTCCGCATTGGCCCATTCCTCCACCTTTTTCCACAGATCTTGCACCTGTAGTTTGCCTACACGTTGGGACTTCTTGGCTTCGGCCTTGGGTTGCTTTGGCGGCCTGGTCTCTTCCGCAGGTGGCGCTGTGCCTGAACGCTTGGTCGCCAGCCCCCCTTCGCCCAGCCCCGTGGGATAAGCCATCCCTGCTGGTGCTCTAGGTGATCCGGCGGCGGCTCCCGCGCTTTCTGCGGATGGGCCATCCGACGTTGTGGGACTCGATGGCGCTGCATTTCGAATAGCTTCGGCCTCAGCGGTTTCTTCGGGTGAGACGAGAACTCCCGCGCCGGTATCGCCATCGAAAACGTCCATGTCTTCGCGTGGTTCGAGGCTTTCCGCGGCTGCTTGCCGCAACGTCCTTCCTTGTCGCAGTGCCCATGGCACGCCAGCTACGGTCCCCATCAGGGTTCTGTTGGCTTGCGCGTCTGGCGGTAAACGGCGGACAGACCGCACACTCAATGCCCCAGCCTCCGTGAGTATAATGTTGGTGTTGTCGCGCTCCAGACGACCAACCCATATCCCACGTATCCAACGGCGTTGCGCCTTGGTGCCTGGTTTCGGAAGTTTTGCCATGATTCCCCAAATTTGCATATGGGGCTCAAGTATTCTACCCCATTGACTATCTTGTACGCGGTCATTTTGTCGGCGGTTCTCACTTGAAATCTCGCCGCAGACCAAGCGACGTACTTGACTAGCCAGGGAAACACCACATGATTGACGTCAACCATGCAGTTGGGGTACCGATTCTGGAGGTCCATGAGCCATGTGCGCACCAAACCTGCGAGTTGGTGGTGTTCGCCTTCAACGGCGCCCTGGCTCTGGTGCGAGTACGGCGGTGACTCCCGCACTCGAACCTTGTGTGCCCCCATCCGGTTTCTTACAGCCACAGCAACGTTTCTCAACGCTCCTTCTTGGTCAATTTGCAGGATCACTCTTTTGTGTCCCAAATTGTTCAGGTAGAGCTCTATTGCGTCCAACACAAATGGTCCGCACTCCTGACCTTTTCTAGGCACCTGTACGCTGCACGGCCAGCCGGTGTCGCGGTCAACCAGCGTCAGCACCGTGACGAGAACAGACTCGTTCTCCGGCGCGAGCCTTTGCTGCGCCCCTCGCGAGTAGAAGGTGTAGTCCATTTGGACCGTCGCTTCCAATGCGCCTTCTCCCGCGTCTTTCTTTCGGCGGTGGTGCCCGCCTCGCCCGGCCCCCTGCACGCATTCCGGACACCAGCTCTGGAATGGCAGGTGAGTGAGTCTATGGCGCTCTTTCTCTTCGGCCGTGGGCTCGCGTGGCACGCTTTCCTCGTTCGGCTCGGGATCCGCTGGCGGGGCTACCGCTTCAAGGTCCTGGCGTTCTTCGCCCTCACCCTCATTGGCTTCGGCAGCTGCTGCCTCGGCCCGCGCGGCTTCTGCCTCCCGCTGTTCTTCAGCGATAGCGAATTCCTCGACCGCTTGAGCTTCCAGGTCGTCGGGAAAATCCTCAACGGCCGCTATGGTCACGTGCTTGCTGGGTTTGGCCATTTCAGCGTAAGGTAGCAGGAATTGCTTCCCACTTCGGACGAAATCGGCTCGTGAGCCGTCAGCCCACTCAATGTGCGAGCCTGACGCGTGGAACACAACCCGCGCTCCAGCATCCACCGCTCGGTTCACAGACAGAATGTCATCCGTGATACCTTCAACCACTTGAAACGTGGTTCGTGCATTCTGGCGGTGGTCCCCGCCTAGTCGCAGCACAGGTTCCGTGGCGCCTAGGGTGTTGAGCGGCGTGTCGTCCACACGTACAGAGCCATTTGTCCTTTCGGGTCAAGTTTACTGGAAAAGGTTCCCGGGCGGCAAACGGAAACAGCGGCACCGGTATCCACCAGGAGGTGTCCTTGGCGGGGGTCGTTGTTCCGCACAGCCAGCACTCGCATGGGCTCATCCGAGATGTGTCTCACACCAGGTTTTGCCGTAGTCGCGGCGCTGCCCGCCTGGGAAGCGGAGGGACCCGCTGAGAGCTGTGACGAAGTGTCGTCAGCAACAGCGTTTACTCCGCCCTTCGGCGTTCCTTTGCCTTTTCCTTTCACATTGTACCAGCAGTCTTTCACTGTGTGCCCAGTTCGCCAGCATATGGGGCACTTCTCCTTTTCTTTCTGCTGGTTTCTTTTGTCTTGGCCCTTTCCACCCTTCTCGGGTTTGTTCCCCCCTTTGGGGTCTTTGTCTTTTCCTTTGCCCTTCTTTTCTTTTCCTTTCCCCTTATCGCCTTTGGCATCGCCGACTTTGCCAATATCCATGGCATCGGGATCGTGAGCTGCTCGGCGGCTTGACTGAGCATAACCACCGGACGGTGTCCACACCCTCTTTGCTTGCAGGTATGAGACCACCACAGCCCGAACCTCATCGTACGATCCTAGCGACGAAGCATGCATTGCCAAGTGCTGCTTCAGGGCCTGGGGCGATTCGACCATAAGTAGCGCTCGCTTGTCTTCATCTGAGATGGCCTTTTCGGCTCCAAACTCGGATTCATACTTCGCGAGATCCAGCTCCCATTCTTGAAGAGCTGCACTAAAGTCGCCCTCTTTGTTTGGAAACTTCGGCGAAAGCAGGGCTCGTCTCCAAATGAGACCTCTGTTGGCCTGCTCGGGATGAAACTCTCGCCACAGCATTCGCCACAGGACGAATCCATTTTGGTTTCTCGTGCCCCTTGCAATCTTCAATGCAGCTGGGCATTCAGCGATGAGCGATACCAGCATCCCAAACAGTTTGACTGAGAGAGCTCGGTATTCGTCGCTCTCTTCGGTCGGTGTGTTGTCGCTTTGACTCTTTCTGGCTTCCTCTAAGTGCACTGGAAAACTTTCGTCCACGAGTGCAGCAAAGGTTTCAACTTGCCACACAAACCTTTCCCAATCTTCTACTCCCTTTAAGGGTTTGGGGGGTTTAATGGCTTGTTTAAGTAAGTCTACCCCTTTCAGCGGTGCTGCTAAACCTAACAGTCCTTGGGGTGAAACGCTACCTACCGCTGCGGCCGCCGCTGCTCTGCTGGCTGCGGTGCCACCCGCGGCGGTGCTACCCGCCTGTTGGAGTTCCAGGAGCTGTTGCTCCAACAGTTGGGTGCGATGCTGGCTTTGAGCCAGCTGCTCTTGCAACCCACGGTGGGCCTCCTCTGCCCTTCGGAGGGCGTCAGTGAGTCCCGTGAGCTGCCTGCTCACCTCCTCAGCGGTGAGTTGTGTCGTCCCCGCCATCGCCATCTTCGGAGAGGCGTGGGCTTGGGATCGTGCTCCCAGCTAGGGAGTCTGCTGTTTCCTGGACTTCCACCCAGGAGCTTTGTACCGCAGCTTCGGCTGCGGCGGGGCTGCCCGCTTCCGGGCTGGGTTCCGCAGCTTCTGCTGCGGCGGTGCTACCCGCTCCTGGAGTGTCCGAGGGGCTATAGTCAACCTCCTCTTTCACTGAGATCCAGGAGTCTCGGAGCTCAGACGCAGCTTTGGCTGCCGCACTTGCGAGGGGTTCCTCGTTCGGATCCTCGCTCTTCACCCCTGCAGATGGGGCGTGGGGTCCTTCCGGTTCGCCCGGATCCCCTTCGAGCTTGATGGCCCGAATTCTTTCTGCGGCTGCACTTGCTGCCGCTTCAGTCTGCACGGGCAGACTTCCAGTCTCGTAGTCGATGGTGCTGACTGACGAGCTGGAGGAGGACTCGGACTCAGAGGCTCCTGAGTGTTCCTCCGCGGGGCTACCCGCTGGCTCGGCTGCCGCCGGCGCTGGGGTGAGAACGACTGGCTCACCTGGCTCAGTCGAGGTCTCCGCCTCCTGAGGCGGTTCTACCCGCGCGGACTTGGCTGACGAGCTAGCGCAGGCTGCTCGTCGCTCTTGCCCCCTCTGGATACGTTCCTCAACCTTTTCAGGTGAGCGTTTTCCCCGCTGGTTCTTGCGCTTCCAGCGTTGGTTGCTCTCGTCCCACACCCACTCGGGCGGGGGACGTTCCCACCAGGGCTTTCCCCTTGGTTTGGCGGGTCTACCCGCACTGGAAGCTGCAGGTTCGCTGCGATGCCGCGGACTGCGACTACGCGGAGGTGCAGTGGTTCAGGCACCGGGTGTGCCTCCACCCACGAATGCACACCTGACCAGCCGGCCCAGGGGTCCTCGGCTTGGCCTGTGTTTTCGGTCCAGCTTTCTTGCTGCCAGACCTCTTGCTGCCAGTCCCAGTGCTGGTCAGCTTCGGCTTGGTGGTTGTCCCACCAGGAACCAGACTGGTCCCGATTCCAACCCCAGTCGTGCCAGTCCCTGTCGGACGTGGTTACGAGACTAGGGCGGATCTACCCGCACAAAGCTGGGCAAATCCAGAGGTGAAGACCGGCTCGGTTGGCTCGGCCTGTGGTCCTGGTTTGTCGGCCCAGGTGCCGAAAGTTAGACCTCTAGGCGGGTCTACCCGCACTAAGCTTCAAAGCCTAGTGCTTCTTTCCCCGGGTTTCTGGTCCCCGGTGACCGTTGCTTGCACCTGCAGGGCGGTGCTACCCGCAGACAGCAAAGGCAGGTCCTCCAGACCTGCGGGGCTGCCCGCTCGGAGATGCTGGCCCTGGGCTCAGCAGAGCTCCGCTACCATGCGAAAGCTCAGAGGCTGTTTCGGGGGTCCTACTGGGCTCAGGGTAGGACACTCCTTTTTCTCTTCGCTTGAAGCCTCAAAAGGGCTGCGGTTGCGCAGTGGTTTCTATACAGCGTAGGGGTAGCCTTTAGCTCAAGCCCTCGGAGTGTTGGGTAATTAAGCTACTTACCGTAGATAAATCGCATAAACCCTAAACCCCAAACGTCTTACTCTCCATTCACAGCCTCCCTTGAAGGACCCTCCCCCAACCGTGATCTCTAAATCGGGCATCTTGGACTGTAAACCTTCTAGAACTTCTACGGCATTGCAGAGAGAGCCAAGTTCTTAAGGCTTCATATGGCACGGGGTTTCGAAGACTGGCTCAAGAAACGCCGGTTCAGTTTTATTTATTTTCTTCGATTCCTGACGCCCTAAATATGAGGGCTTCGAATGTAATCTATATATTGTCGGTGAGCTCACACTTGAGCACAGATTTGCTTAGTGTCCCACTATATAACCCCTGGGGCAGGGCCCAAAAGGTAAGTTGGACATGTCAAGATGGGCATTTGGTATGAGGAACACTCGGACAACAAGAAGCCTTCTTTTGCAGTGGGACTCGCAAGAAGTCTGAGTCTCGAGAAGAAGCACCGACGGTCTAAGAGCTCACTGCTCAAACACATCGGGCCCTCCACACCCCCACTGTTGAAAATTAAGGGTTGGGCGGGCGGGATCAAAAACTGGGCATTTGCCCAGCTACGGGGTTTCCCACCTCCCACCCTGGAACCAGAATGTTTCAGAGACAATGAAGACTTATTCCAATGGGGAAAGTCCACATCGCACAACCAAGTGTCAGCGATTAAGGCAAAATCTTCGGGCTTTTTGAAATGTAAAGCATTTCAAAATCGGAATCGTTGAAAATAAAACTCTATCACCTTTGGTGAGTTCCGTCTTATTTTCTTCGATTCCTGACGCCCTAAATATGAGGGCTTCGAATGTAATCTATATATTGTCGGTGAGCTCACACTTGAGCACAGATTTGCTTAGTGTCCCACTATATAACCCCTGGGGCAGGGCCCAAAAGGTAAGTTGGACATGTCAAGATGGGCATTTGGTATGAGGAACACTCGGACAACAAGAAGCCTTCTTTTGCAGTGGGACTCGCAAGAAGTCTGAGTCTCGAGAAGAAGCACCGACGGTCTAAGAGCTCACTGCTCAAACACATCGGGCCCTCCACACCCCACGCACAGGCCCTAAGGTGTCAGAGAGGTGAGCCTCACGCGACATGCCGGATCGAGCTCACGGAGCTCTTTGCGCGATGGAGCATCGGCGGGATTGCTCTGGGAAGGTACCCATTCGAACCAGAAGTTGACATCACACATCTCTTCGAAGTGCACAAGCCTCTGAAGGATACAAGCTGCAACACCCTCAGCTCTGCCGCATATCAAGCAAGACAGGGCAGCCTCGTTGTCAGTAAAAAGAACTACATCAATGCCAGATCTGCCTTGCATGGAGCAAATCCAGAGCACCTTGCACGGCTGCGAAAACCTCCAGCTCATAAATCAACCCATCTTTCGAGTCAGAGCCGAAGGGCTGAAGATCACACGGGTCAATCCATTCAGAAAACCATTTAAGCGGAGTGGCTTTGGCATCGTAAAGTATGCCGCCCAATCCTGCACCTTCACTTTCAAAGGAGGCGTCAGTGAAGATTGTGAGCTTCTCGCGCACACAGGCACTGACACGTCGAGGCTCGCCCCCGACGACGCGATCTCTCAGGAAGAGAAGGGCACGGAGAAGTTCATCCTTCACCTCAGTGTTCCTTTTGCGTGAGCATGAGCGGGACAGGATGGAGAACGCCTGTCTGGCACTCCTTCCAAACACCTGATTGTCTGCGAAGAGCAACCGACCCCGGAGCACGGTCAGCTCATGGCACGAGGCAGATCCTTTCGAGATGAGCAAATCAAGAAGGTTGCATAAATCCTTTTTGCGATGTTCCGTGTTTGAAACGGAAATCAGGCCGGCCCTAGCGTCGGCAAAGGAGATGCAAACACCTAGAACCCTAGCCAAGCCAGTAAACCCCGAGTCCTTCTCAGAAGACGTGGCCCCTCCCAGCAGGTCGAAAAATCCCTTTTGGATGAAGTGCACATGTCCGGCCTCAGCCGACGCTGCTACCAGGAAGAAGTCGTCGAAGTAGCAGCTCCAATGGAGCTGCAACAACGTGACACCAAGCCAGAATAATGCATACGAACACCTGCAAAAACCATTGACGGCAGCACGAGCCCCAAATGGAAGCACACGGGTGCGGTATATGGAAGGCTGGCCGCGCTCTGGGTCATGCACACACAGAAAGCAATCATTCAGCGAACCCTCTGCAACCGGCAACTGCTTATAGGCTTTTCTAAGATCAACGGTGCAGGCAACGAGGTCTTCAGGGTCTGCATGCTTTGGCCTGGAGAGAATGCGCCTGCAAATCCCGGCTACTATGGTGTCGACACCATGTGGGGATATAGTCTCCGAGCTGGAATTCGTGAGGTTCACTTGGGACTCTGTGAAATCGTCAATCGGTCTGGTTTTGTCGATGGCAGTTCCATCCGCCTGCGTGCTGGTCTGCCGGACACCAAACCGGCGGGTGAGCACAGCTCCCTCAGGCAAAGGGAAGTCATGAGGCCCATCCAGCCCGGGCCAACTCCTCTTGAGTCAGGTCCTTGGAAGCCTTGCTTGCATGGAAAATGGCTGTGTTGGTAGCCGAAGAATTTTCCCTAACCTCCTTGGGAGTCAAGGTCGCAAAGGTATTCCTCTTCGGCATTGCTCCTAAGTCGGGTAAAGGGCCCATTACGTCAAAGCCTCGTCTCACCTGATCAGGAAGCTTGCTGTCCACATGCCCACTCGCATCAAGCATCTCCTGGAAAAGCCGGAGGTCCTTGCCCGTAAGAATGTCAGCGCAGTGACCCCGAGGTGGGTCCGGATCGGGTTGCTCAGCCAGTTCATTTGCACAAAGGACCCATTTTCTAACAACACACCTCGTAAGAACCTCTGGCACGCCACTGTAAAGGTGTTTCGGGTGTTCCGCAAAACACGCTTGCCGGACAAATTCCTCACAAGACTTTGGAACCGAAAAGGTCATCTCTCTAACCGAGAAGGTCAGCCCCACCCCCGAAAAGAACTGACCGAAGGCACTTGCTTCCAGCAGGCAGGCCATGCATGGGCGGCACAACCGTAAGCTCGGAATGCAAAGGTGTAAAAGACTTAAGAACTCCCGTAGGTGGCATGAAGGAACTAGGTCCACGCAGAACGACAGTGTTGGCAACAGGCGGCACAATAGGCGGAATGCGTTTGCCTTTGGGCTGCTTAGCTGCCGCCACTTGAGCTGCTCGGTGTAGAGAAACATCGGCCTTGCTTGTGTTGACACACTGAAACTGACGGAGCCTATCAAGGAGCGCCCTGGAAAAGCTATTGCAAAGCTCCGTTGGGTAGGGATGCACCGAACATGTACTGATGCAGCGAAGTTTTAAGAAAACCGAAGGAAAGGCAGGTCTTTCCCAACACACCAGTCCAGGCGGGACTGGCGCAAGGATTCTCAACCGAAACAAGGGTCCCGTGGCCGTGGCACCACTTTAAAACGGCAGCTGTCAGCTTACACAACTCAGGGTCACTGGCGGGCGGTGAAATGTGCACACCGCAAAGATTCTCTCGGCGAAGCACATCCCAAAGCAAAGCCCGTTGCTCATCTTTGCGAAGATCAAAAACTGGGCATTTGCCCAGCTACGGGGTTTCCCACCTCCCACCCTGGAACCAGAATGTTTTAGAGACAATGAAGACTTATTCCATGGGGAAAGTCCACATCGCACAACCAAGTGTCAGCGATGAAGGCAAAATCTTCGGGCTTTTTAAAATGCAAAGCATTTCAAAATCGGAATCGTTGAAAATAAAACTCTATCACCTTTGGTGAGTTCCGTCGGCACTTTGAGGAACACAATCTTCTCGCAGCCCCGATCTCCCAAAGCAAAAGGGTCTTCTTGCTGCAGCAGCTTTGTGAAGCTGCTGCATGGAATTGACAGTTTATGGGACTCGTGAAAGTCTAGGGTTTGCGCTTAACTAAAGAAAACTGTCCAACTTGGGAAAACCACTGATGCAACTCCCGCGATATCCCTGCCTTTCGGCAGGGTCACACTTGACGTGAGTCCAATAATGTCCAATCACGCTTTGTACTTTCTTCCGAGACGTCCTTTGGCCGCAACCTGTCCTCTCTTTCGAAATCCGGCTTCGGCCACTGCCGGTGGCACAGCGACATGCTTCCCCATCGACAGGGAGTTATCCAAATTTGTGGCGAAGGGTATTCTTTGTTTCCTGGGCGCCATGGAGCCACATTGTGATTGTGCTGTGTTCCTCTGGGACCTTGGATCGCTGTGATACAGCCTGAAAACTTAAAACCCGCGCTGCTTCAAGAAGAACCCCAGTGCAAGGCTTGAAATCCAAGAGCTTGCGCTTTAGGCAAGCCGAAGACAAGGACATTCCAGCATGGCAGCAACATGCAGCAACCATGGAAAAGATATTGCAAGAAAACTCGGAGTCTAAGCCAAAAACTTTCAACCCGCTGCCTCTTAGAATCTGTTCACGCTGACTAGACTGGCAATTACAAGTGCCTGCAGTCCAGTAAATTGAAGAAGAGGTTTTGAAGTGTCTTTTGGCTTGCAGAAGCTTTGAGCAGGACCATGCTGCACTGCTGGAGCCATGTCTGCGCACGAGTTTGTTCACGTTGCACAAACGTGGTTTTTCCGTTTCAAAATTTGTTTTTGTGTGTGTTTTCTCTGTGGGCCACTTTAATGGAAAGCAAACCACTACCTTTTTGGGAAGTCTACGGGCGGTAACTGCGTAGCATTTTTCTTTGGCGGTAGAACCAAGCTTAAGACCTGTAGTGAAAGCTAGACAGACACAAAAGCCCTAAACCTACGCCCTCCTGTTAAGGGGTGTTCGTCGGAGTTCTTGCTGAAAGAAGATGTGACCTGGGCGACACTGTACAGACGACGAAACAGGGAGATCCAAGTCACATCGACTTCACGGAACAAAGACAAAGAAGTTAAGCAATTCTTCTTACGTGTTCGACTTTGGTTTTTCGCGGAGCCTATGAAAAATGTCATTCACGTAGCCATCGTGATCCATCATCTGCAAAGTTTCTCGCAAAGTTTCTCCGTGGCCGTTGTACGTGAACCTTCATCGGAATCTCCATAACAGCAGCACTGATCATGCCAGCTTTGCGCACTAAGCCGTTTTTATGCAAGCTGTGCAACACGCTTAGTGCTGGAAATGACGATCCAAGTCGTTCTTAGAACGGAAAAGAGGAATGCCACCCTTCCTGACCACAGGACACTGATCTTGAGGAAGCGCGCAATGGCGATGCAGAGCGCGCGAAGATAGAGCTGGGCACGCGCAGCCTAAGAAGGAGCCGTGGCATCAGTTTCCTGCAGAAGGATGTGGCGCCACCCTGATACTGCTGAACATCTGCCAAGTAAGCAGCGCAGGTTCTGGAAACAGGCCAACCACTTAGTGGGCTTACAGAGAAAGTTTTCTTCAAGGCATCTTGTGTTGACAGTAATCAACGGGGCAGAGACCTGCAGGTGTTTGATTTGTGGCGCACTTTGCGCCAGCAAGCATGGGCCAAATCGGCGGTAACCTGCAAGAGGGCGTTTGCCAAGCCACCTTTGCCTGGTCTGCGCGGCGAAGATGGATCCGAATTCGTCCGGGTAAAGTGTTTGCTTGAACGGTTCAGTTACCACATCGTTGGCGTGGATTTCCAGCGCTTCGCCGGGTCGTGTGCAATGTCTTGCACATGTCGGATGCCTCAAAGGACGGTCGGCAAAAAAGACCAGACCAGAACGGCGAGGAGGGCACCCAGGAAACAATGCGTAAGCGAAGCCGGAACATCACCAGCTCGGTCTCCTGCCTCTCAAGAAGAGCCTTGAAAGCTACTGTAGCAGCATGTGGCATGCAGCTGAGACGCCAGCTTGGCCAGCTCCTGCGCGGCATCCAGAACCAGTAGAGACTTGCCGGCATCCCGGCCTTCGATAAGACTTTCCAATGCCTTTCACCCTGAAAACGGCAAATCGATTCCAGACAGTGGCCCGGGACACGCCCAGAAACCTTTTCGGGAACCCATCTCAAAACCCGGGGGAGCCCCGAAAAACTAGAACAAATCGGGTCTCTGGGTTAAAGTGGCTCGTGATCTTTTCAGAACTTGAGTATACGATTGTGCCATGTTCCAGTTCTACTATCATTATAATTTTCACACGCTACTGCACGATTCTACCCTCTTGGGCCACGTTTTCTGACGCAGCCGGGCCACAGAGCTCCTCAAGGGCTGCCAAGGCAGGCTGCCCATACCTAA